GCTTGCTCTTCCGCACTGTTCACTCGCTTCCGCACTGTTCACTCGCTTCCGCACTGTTCACTCGCTTCCGCACTGTTCACTCGCTTCCGCACTGTTCACTTGCTTCTGCACTGTTCACTTGCTCCCAGAGGGCCCTTATAACATCTAGCTTGCTATATATCAGTTTACCACCAAGTAGTGCAGAACCGGCCAGTCTGTCTGTCTACTCATTTTCCAACACACCAGCTCAATCTGGAAAGAATATCCAAAGGATTCTAACTACCCGAGACCTCCGAAATGGTGCTTGCCACGCTGCATGGAGCATACCTGTCTCCAACTTTCTCAACCTGCTCTGTGATCTGAATATGAACAACAGGTAAATGCGATCAAAAACATCTACAGACATCTGCATCTTGGATGTCATGTTGTTGTAAAATCAAAAAGAAAAAAAACATGAAAAATTGAGGTAAAGACAAGCTAGGGGAAATATAACAATATGGATTTCTTTAAGTTATCAAAAAGCAAATATTCTTGAGGTTTGGTCACACATTAGAGAACCTAATGAGCCAAAGGTCTTGAGTTTGAATATGCATTGCAATAGATTGTTTTCAAAACTAACCTTTGGTCTCGAGGTCGACCCAGATAAAAAATGTGAGTCTGATGGGCCGCTGGCCTAAAAAGGCTACTTTGCTTGATTTAATTTGGTTTCATATTAGGCCATCAAAAAACAGCACAGATGGTCAGATTCTGGAGACAAGATACAGTTTCTCCTTCTTTGGTTTGCCCGAAATCAGCTATCTCTATCTGCAATTTTTGTGTCTTTAAAGATTTCACTGTCTTTTTTTTAGTTCACTCAGTGGCCTGTAAAGTTGACTTTCCAATGTTGTTCTATCTGGTCAAAAGGTTTGCTTTGATGTGTCATATTAGCGGCCGTCTTAGAGTATGTGTTCTAACGTATGGGGTGACGTTCCACATGTGCACATAACTGATACATCAATTTTAAATGTTGTATGAATGTGGTTGCATAACTGGTTGTGCCCAGTTTGAGGCCCAGGATAATGAGTGTCCATAACAAGGTGGCCATCTTGTGCCAGGCTTGGCTGATTAAATGCAGAAAACAAATGTGCACAGTTAGATCCGTGCGGTCAAGCACTGACTTAAAGAGAGCGGCACACTGCGAACAGTTATGGAATGTAATAATCCTGAAATATGCTTCAAAAACTCGGGGATGATATAGGCCAAAGGTATTGGACATCCATCCATGATATTGAAGCAATTGCAGAAGATAAAATGGAATGGACGAATAAACTGTAAGCCCTCTCTGACTTCTGAATGACCTTGGCTCCCAGGTCGACCCAGCCTCAAGTAAGTACCAGGTAGAGTCTTGGCCAGCGTGATGTTGACTACTTCACCACCCGAGTGTCGACTGCTCTTTAAAATCTAGGTCTGGCAGCGTGTGCCCAATATGCCTAATGGTGTGTGGGGGCGGGGGGGGGGGGGGGGGGGGGTCATTTTATTTGTGGTTTTGTGAGGTTCTGTCTGGCACTAGATGATGATGTGATGAAAGACCTGGTTTCTTGACCCTCACAAGAGCTGCAACGCTTGATGATGATGATGATGATGATGATGATGATGATGATGATGGTGATTTCATCAAAAAAGTAAGGCCAGGCAATAACTACTTAAGCGTTACAATTCAAAGAAATATCAGACAAGCAGAACTTCAAAAAATAAACAAGATGTGAACATGAACTAGACATAAACCAAGTAGTGGCAGAGAATCTTCTCCCCTTTCTCTTCAAATTACTGAAATGTTTGATGGAGATATAAGGATCTTTTATGTGCACCTTCTATTGTGCTGTATATGCTAATCTTTATTATCAGTGTACATAAAATATAACTCTAAAAACTATAGGGCTGGCATTTTGGTAAAATAATATCATGAAATAATTTTTTTTTTAAAGTGACAACTATAGTTTCGAAACCCAAGCGCCTCCGTCACATCGTAGAAACAGACTAGTTTTTTTAATTTTTAAATGGTAGCATTTTCAAATTTTGTTTTGTTGTTGATAAAAAGAGTTGCAATAGCCAAATTACCATCTACATGAGAAATTTAAATAATTAAAGTACATAGCATGACATATTATACTCAATGGGAGCTTCTTCTTCCGCTTTTGCTTTTGACACCGGTCAAGCTGAACATTAAATCCCATGTGGGTGACGGAAAGAACAATGATGAGTCTAAGGTCACTGCCGCTCCCCCACAGCTTGTCTTGCAATGTAAAGACTAATTAAACATTTTAACTTAACATCTTAGGCAACAATTGCTGTGCCTTCTCTATCTCACGACTGAACTGAACACATTGAAAAAATCTGACTACCATAGGGTGACCACCATTTTCTTTAGTTTCGTATGTGTTGTGTCATACAATATTTTAGATCCGCTGGATTTTTTTACAATGAAAGGTTACAATTTGGTAATCATGCTAGACAGAGCTTTGTTCCCTGGTAGTATGCAATAAGAGCACCTTTTTTAGACACAATTTTGTCAGCACTGCCATAACAGACACTTTCTAGTGTGTACTGGAACCATTTTATACACTTTTTGATAAGTACAGGCGGCACCTTGTTTTCTTCACACACACAAAAAAAGAAATAAAAAAACGGGTATACTAGAAATGATAGTTTCACAGAACAAGGAAGAAGATAAGAATAAATGCACATGCAATAACACAGATAAAATTTAGAGAGCCATTGTGCACTGATCTGTTTCACTGGCCGTGCTGTGAAGTGTATAACTGCTGACACACATCTCTACTACATGCATCAGTGCAGGTGAAATCAAAGCACCAGTAATAAGGTGAATAATCTTGTAGTGGTGGATGAACTTTGCTGTAGGAATGGAAGTGCAGACTTGAAGTAGAAGCACCATAAGGAGAGATCAGCCTAAATGCTGGTATATATAGTAACCTGCAGACAAAATAGATTACAGTTAAACAGGAAATATTACAGAACTCTTCAAACACTACCAATAAAATTATGAGTGCATTACTGTACATGTTGAAGAGATCATCTCTTTGGCACTCTCCCTCATTCTTTTATAACCATTCTCCCTTCTCTCTTTACCAACTGTCCTTTCTCCTTTTCAATTACACCAGTATCAGAACTGCATTGTTATTCTCTCTTTTGTTCAGTCTTCTGTCTTGTATAACGTAGCTTAGAGGTTTGACATCTTTTGGTACAGTTAAACCTTAGCTAGATTCAAAATTATCATCTCCAGAATAGCAACAGTATTATTACACTTCTGTTTCATGTGGGAACCTCTCTCTCTCTCTCTGGCTGACTGGTATCAGCCATTTCCTACTGATATGCCTGATTCAAGAATCACATCAACTATGAACTCTCTTCCTTAAAGAGACACTATTTGACCTCAAGAGGCCTCAATAATTTGTAAATAGGAGACTGCAAGAGTGCCTTAGAAATTCCACATGATAGTGAGGAAAACAGCTGTAGGGAAGAAGTAAAGGCGGCCGGCATGGTGCTGATCACATCAGGGCCCCCCAATGTGAGTTCCTGGGTCTGGTATTGGGTGGAGAAAGAATCGACCCCCTTCCCTCTAACAGGTATGTTGTGAAAGGTGACTAATTCTGAGTTTCTTGAAACCAGATGTGCTGTGCCGAAAGGCCCATATATCGCAGCCTAGCTGTAAACTACAATAGTGGTGCCAACTGCCTTTTTGAAGGTCAACACAGAAGAACCAGAAGAAGACTGGATTCTGTTTTAGTAGCCTGACAATGTACACTTATTGCAGGCATGTATGTGAAGTATTCAAGTGGGGTGTGCAATCAATAGGTGATGCAGACCAATCAGGTAATTAGGTATTAGCAGTTCCAGCTTAATTGCAGACGGGTCACCTCATAGTTGCTCTGTTCCTGTACCAATGAAAACCATACAGAAGGAAGGTCCGTAGATGTTCCTTATGAAAAAATTGATGCAGAATGTAGTTTCTACACAGCCAACAGCGCACACACATTAAATGCATAAGCAGCTGCCAGAAGTGTCAACACAAATGGGCCATCACCCTGAGGGTACATCACTGCCTTTTTAAATTTGTCGAGCTACACAGTCACAGGTGACGGTCAGTTGCTGTTGACTACAGCTGCCTTCCAACAACAGTACCAGCTGTACAAATGAACACAGGTCTACCTACCTATGTACATGCTGAGCTACTCTGTCTGGCTCTTCCTGCTGCTACCTACCTATGTACAAGCTGAGCTACTCTGTCTGGCTCTTCCTGCTGCTGCTACCTACCTATGTACAAGCAACATGCTGAGCTATTGCTGGGAAGAACAGGGTCCACCACGAGGTAGGCTTGAGGTGAGGTAGTCTCTGTCTGGCTCTTCCTGCTGCTACCTACCTATGTACAAGCAACATGCTGAGCTACTCTGTCTGGCTCTTCATGCTGTTACCTACCTATGTACAAGCAACATGCTGAGCTACTCTGTCTGGCTCTTCCTGCTGCTACCTACCTACGTACAAGCTGAGCTACTCTGTCTGGCTCTTCCTGCTGCTACCTACCTATGTACAAGCAACATGCTGAGCTACTCTGTCTGGCTCTTCCTGCTGCTACCTACCTACGTACAAGCTGAGCTACTCTGTCTGGCTCTTCCTGCTGCTACCTACCTATGTACAAGCAACATGCTGAGCTACTCTGTCTGGCTCTTCCTGCTGCTACCTACCTACGTACAAGCTGAGCTACTCTGTCTGGCTCTTCCTGCTGCTACCTACCTATGTACAGGCAACATGCTGAGCTACTCTGTCTGGCTCTTCCTGCTGCTACCTACCTACGTACAAGCTGAGCTACTCTGTCTGGCTCTTCCTGCTGCTACCTACCTATGTACAAGCAACATGCTGAGCTACTCTGTCTGGCTCTTCCTGCTGCTACCTACCTGCGTACAAGCTGAGCTACTCTGTCTGGCTCTTCCTGCTGCTACCTACCTATGTACAAGCAACATGCTGAGCTACTCTGTCTGGCTCTTCCTGCTGCTGTCCTCTTTCTGCCCAGCCACACCGTTGGGTGTGAACCCAGCTGCTGCCAGATCCTGGGGTGAGGCTGTTTCCAACAGTTCAGTGTTGACCACTACAGACAAACACACAGAGAAACAAACTACTTAAAAAGCCAATGGGCATCAAGATTTTCACAATCATGTTGTTAGGGGCAAGGGTCACTCTATACAAAAAAATCATTCTTTTTAAAATGTTTGTTTAAAAAAAAAGGATTCAAAACAAGTAAAGGTTCCTGTTTTGTGGCTCATATTTAAATAAACCTATCAGCATTCGAGGGGTGATTTGATCCACATCGTGCAGACCACCTTTACTTCCCAGGACAATATCTGGTATCCATTTTAGGCTGGTCTACCCAGGAGCCAAGATCATTTTTTTTTCTTTTTAAATCTGCCCCAAGTGGATCTGAACCTCTGGGTCTGCAGTGAGCAACTAGCAATTTTGTTTGAGCTACTATGGGGTCACTCTTCCAAATTAAAAAACAAAAAAGCATGCACGCACACACGCACGCACACTCAAACATACACACACCAAATATCTGAGTATCATGTGACACACAAACCCCATGAACAAAGAAATACAGAAATGAGATGAGCACCCTTAAAGAGTCCATTTTTGATTTGACATCTAAACTGACAAATAGGAATGCCTCAGACTTCAGATAACCTACGATGCCCCATACCATGATAAAAATCCACACAGCCAGCAATGGTTTTCGATCACAGTACTTTGGAATCACAAGTCAAACTCACAACGCCTAAGCCATGGACGTCACATCAGCCAAAGAGTTCACACTAAATTCTGGAAATAAGCATTGTTTTGTGCTTTTTCAGTTCAAAGACTGTGATTTTCTTTTGCAGTGATTTTGATTGATCCAAAAGAAACCATATATATGTTGTCACAGTATGCATGCAACCAGAAACAAATATTCCAACATACAGTTATGTTGTATGTAATGATTGTGACAGTAATGCACTTACAGCTATGTTGCACGTAATCAGTGTGACAGTAGTGCATATACATCACTAATGTAGAGCTTTGGGAGAGAACTAAACAAGTTCAAATGGACCTACAGGTGAAAAAAAAAGACGCTGGCATTGGATAGGAAACACACTGAGAAAAACCTGAAAACAGTATCACTAGAATGTCTTTGCACTGAAACCCACATGGGCATAGAAATAAAGGAAGACCAAAAAACACATAGAGAAGGAAGCTAGAGAGTGAAGTTAAAAAGATGGGGATGACATGGGAGAGCTGTATGCAACAGCGAGAGATAGAATGACTTGTATGCTCCATTGGGAGCTAGAAAGGCAGAAGAAATACAAAAACCTAATATAGGGTCTCATTTTAGTACAGAGAAAAAGGATATATCCACTGTCCCCTATATAAAGCTGAAAAGTATGCATATCGCAACCTAGCTGTAAACCACAACATAGTGTTCCAGACACCCTTTTTCTTAGACAGACAAAGGAGAGGAAGTCCACAATTTATCTTACTCCAAAACTTGAAACTTTTGTATGCACATCAACTTTACAGATCTAGCTTATATATATGCAGACTGTTAGTTCCTTGCCTCTCAGGCAGGTGTACTCTGACTTTGAAGGATACACACCTAATTAGTCGCCTTATATGACATGCTTGTTAGGGGCCGCAGTGGGTCTATTCTTTTTACTCCAAAATGAAGCCCGGAACCCATACATAGAAAATCTATAGACAACTCACATGGTTTTCCTGCATGCTGCCTCAACATCATCAACATCTCTGCCACTAGGGACACGTAATCTTCCTGCAAGAGACAAACACAGGGCAGATCAACAACTATTGCCACTGTATACAGGGGACACACAATCTTCCTGCAAGAGACAAACACAGGGCAGATCAACAACTATTGCCACTGTATACAGGGGACACATAATCTTCCTGAAAGAGACAAACACAAAGCAGATCAACAACTATTGCCTCTGTATACAGGGGACACATAATCTTCCTGCAAGAGACAAACAAAGCGCAGATCAACAACTATTGCCACTGTATACAGGGGACACATAATCTTCCTGAAAGAGACAAACACAAGGCAGATCAAAAACTATTGCCACTGCATACAGGGGACACATAATCTTCCTGCAAGAGACAAACAAAGCGCAGATCAACAACTATTGCCACTGTATACAGGAGACACATATTCTTCCTGCAAGAGACAAACACAGGGCAGATCAACAACTATTGCCACTGTATACAGGGGACACATAATCTTCCTGCAAAAGACAAACACAAGGCAGATCAAAAACTATTGCCACTGCATACAGGGGACACATAATCTTCCTGCAAGAGACAAACACAAGGCAGATCAACAACTATTGCCACTGTATACAGGGGACACATAATCTTCCTGCAAGAGACAAACAAAAGCAGATCAACAACTATTGCCCCTGTATACAGGGGACACATAATCTTCCT